TACCGAACGGGCACCCGTCGATACATCTCTTCAAGCTGCAGATGTCTGAGCAGACGTACGTTCACGAGGCCGAGACTATATCGACCTTGTTTACACATCCAAGTGTTGAGGGTGTATACGAAAAGCAGATTCCACTCAACATCCGCGCCATCCTCGAGCTCGGCAGCAGCTGCACTTTCGACGAGTCTCAGAAAGGTGTGCTGGGTAAAGGCCTGGAACAAGGTTTTGATTTGTCTGCTCTTCGCAGAGTACCATCTCAGAAGACCTATCTGGCCGATGCGTCGATGAGCTACGTTTACGTCTACCATGTCAGCAGTGGAGACCGCAACATCTATGCAGTATTCTCAACGTCCAAGAGCGACGCTCAGATCATCGTTCAGAATAAGACCAAAGACGTGCAGGGCATGCCGAACGTCGATCGTGTTTACGCTGATGCTATACGAAGACGCCTCGAAGACAACCAGGGCGAGCCATGGCAGTCGATGATCGACTACCAAGACGACATACATTTCAAGACCACCGTAGTCACCACCAGGCGCAAAGCACTCCTCGAGCTGGGTGATGCGATCAAGAAGTTGAAGACAGACGAAGGCAAGCCTGTCATCGTGGTCATGCAGTCACCAAATTCGGCCTTGCTTTCACATGACATTCCGATTTTGAAAGACCTACCCATTCTCTCGTTACATCCCGACGAAACCGACAAGCAACTCCCGCCTCTTGGTTGGCAGTCTTTCATCACGAAACGCATTGTTGGTCACTATCTCGATCTAGGTTCGTGGGTCGCGCATCTTCTTGAGCTCTCGAGATACGGTGATATACCACTTTGCAACCTTGAGAGCAACGATCCGCGCTTTCTGATCGATGTTGCCTATGCACGTCGTTTGCAGAAGGAACGAGTCATTCTTTGGTGGTCAGGTCAGGCAAAGCCAGACCACGCAGGGTACGAGAAAGACGACATACTCGGACCTCTCGAGACAGTCGAGATGCCCTCTATTAACAACCCAGGGACATATTCGTCAATCTGCATCGACATTAGCTTGCGAAATCTCGCCATCAACACCATTCTGTCATCGTCTCTAATCAACGAGCTGGAAGGCGCGGATTCCGTTTCGTTCAATCCTTCTGCGCCTTCCTACGACGCTGTAAACGACGGCACGAACGTCATTTACTCTGACAACGCTTTCGCAAGCGCAGGTATCATGGTCCTCCGAGAGATGGTCAAAGCCTGGTGGATTGAAGCTTTGAAGACTGACTCTGGCTTTAGTATGGCCGACGTCATGGTTCAGCATCTTGTCCGCTGGGTTAGCAGTCCAGGCTCCTTCCTCTACGACAGGTCTCTACACTATTATGTAGAGATGATGTCGAAGAAGACATTGCAGCAACTGATGACAGATTTCAAGCGCGTCGGCTCGCACATTGTCTTCGCCAGCCCGAACCGACTCTTGCTACAGACTACGAAAGGCGAAGTTGGCAATGCCTATGCGTACAGCCAGTATATCATCAAGACGATCAAGTCGAAGCCGCTGTTCCAGTTTATGGAACTTGAAATCAAGGAGTACTGGGATTACCTTGTGTGGTACGATGAGTTCAACTATGGCGGCAAAGGATGTAAGGAGGTTGTGGAAGAAGAGAACCAAGTCATCGAGAACATTATGTGCTGGCAACTTGCACAATTCCTGCCGCCCACACTTCAACCGACTTTCAACGACTGGATTGTTGAGTTCATTGAGCTCATGCATGCACGCAAACGACCGGCTGCGGCCGATGGCTCGGGGCCACGACTTACTCAAATCCCCTTGCGCCCTCTCACAGTGGATCCGAATGAAGAGACGCAGATTCTCCCGAAGACGTTCACGAAGCCACTTTTCAAGCAGGTCTCAGCTCTGCTTCGTCGTCAACACACAGAAATGTTGCACCCTGAGCTTGCCTCGGACTACGAGTTCCCACAGCTGCCTGGCTCGCACCTCAAACTCCAGAATCCGGTCCTACAGCTTGTCAAGTCAATCATGCAGGTCCTTAGTCTGGACCGCGCAATATCGCTGGAAGCTCGAAGGCTCCGCAAGGAACTGCTCAACCTCTTTGACATTCGCGAGTTCAGCGCTGAAGCAACATTCGCCAATCCCAGCGCTGCACTGATTGTTCGAGGTGTCATCTGCGACGAATGTACGGCCTCTCGCGATCTCGACCTTTGTCGCGATGCCTCGCTACTTCCACCTGCCGTGCCGAAGGATTCCGAGACGGCTCCTCCACCGCCTAAGTGGAAGTGCGATAATTGCGAGTCAACGTACGATAAGCTGCGCATCGAAGAGCAGCTGGTTTCTGAAGTTCAGAAAGTCGTGTTGGAGTGGTGCACGCAGGACTTGAAGTGCAGCAAATGCAAGAGACTGAGGAGCAATGAGTTCATGGAGCACTGTGCGTGTGCAGGAGAGTGGTTGGGAACTAAGAACAGGGGAGATGTGAAGAAGAAGTTGAACACGTATAACAATGTCGCTGGGTTCTATGGACTTCATATGCTGGAGGCAGTTGTACAGGAGTGCTTGGAGGGAATTTAGCAGCAGGATGACGGGTGAGGCGGAATGGTAGCGGAACCTTCCGCGATCTTGAAATGTGGGTTTATTTGGTGTTCCCGGCGTTTATGTTCCTAGCATTTCCAGGGCGTCAACGGCGTGTGGTGTGCAAGTGGGGTTGTATCGGATCAATGTGGATACCTTCACACTTCATGTTCCATAGCCTGCAAATTTATATAATGTTGCGCTTATCACAACATATGTCGCAATACCCGAGGAAGCAATAAACGATCAGCTAAGGATTTGCTGAAGTCAGTGAGCCGATGATGAACCGCGTATCAGCAGCCAATGGTGGGGCTGGCCCTTTTCGGCAACCTCACCCATGGGGAGTAGCAATCACGCAATCCAGGCTAAATATCACCACACCCAGTATGGAGTAACGATGATACCATCTGAGGGGATGTAGGCTTGGGAGGTAGGGGTACATGAGGTATAAAGTTTTCGTGACGTCTTTCTATGTGTGCTTTTTTCACCCATATGCGATACAAACCCTAAGAACAATTGCATTGACCTTAAGCATTACCCGATAAGGTCCTCCATTGCCAAGAAGTCTTCTTTTCCACTACTGTTTATCATAGACATAAATTATTGTCAAGATGGCTCCTGCCTTGACCTCAGCTGCGCCTACAGCGCCGCATGAGCTGACAAAGAAAATTCCAAACAACAACGCACCAAAGAACATCTTTCCAGATGGCATCAAGACATCGGGCCAACATGATCCGTTGTATGACCAGTTACGACCTTACTCAGACTTTCCCAAGGAGATTACTGGCGTATGCTTGAAAAGCCCTAATACAGCGTTGCAACACTAACAAGTCATAGTCCACTGCATGGGACAGAGATGTCTACAAAAACAACCCTGAACGCTGGACACACCATTTCTCTGAAGAAGAAGTCAAGGAAATCTCAGATGCGGCAGACACTTTCATCTCAAGCGGGACCCCATTAACCGGAATCACAAAGGAAAAGTTCCAGCTCCCCCAATTCAGCCAGTTCCTTGAACCACTACGAAAAGAGTTGATTGACGGCAAAGGCTTCATTCTTTTCAAAGGTCTGCCAGTCACAGAATGGGGAAATCGAAAGAGCGCCGTTGCTTACATGGGTCTTGGAACGTATCTTGGCTACTTTGTCTCTCAGAACTCTCGGGGGCATGTTCTTGGACACGTCAAGGATTTGGGCGAGGACTCTACTCAGATTGATAAAGTTCGCATCTATCGTACGAACGCGAGGCAATTCTTCCATGCCGATGATGCGGACCTAGTGGGGTTGTTGTGCGTGGCTAAGGCGCTGGAGGGTGGCGAGAGCGACCTCGTAAGCAAAATGGACGACATGATGAAACAAGATTCAAGATACTAATAGAATACTAGGTCAGCAGTCACTCTGTGTGGAACGACTTGCAGAAGAATAACCCAGACGTTGCCGAGCTGCTCACGCAGCCAATTTGGTACTTTGACCGCAAAGGCGAGACGAGTAAGGGTGAGCTGGAGTGGATCAAGACCAGTGTGTTTTATCTTGAGACTGGACCCAACCCGAGAGTATACTCGAAGTATGTGCTCGACTGATTATTTCCACAAACCCGAGCTTGTGCTGACTACACGACAGATGGGACCCATACTATATCAAGTCTTTGACCCGCTTCTCCTCAGCCGGACTAATCCCACCACTCTCACCCGAGCAACTGCGCGCGGCCCAGATCCTTGAAGACACATGTGTCAAGCTCGCGCTGCACATGATCCTTGATATTGGCGACATTCAATTCCTGTCTAACAACCACGTTTTGCATGCCAGGACAGAGTACAAGGACTACCCGCCGCCAGCGCCGAGGAGGCATCTGATGAGGTTGTGGCTGAGTACACCGGAAGATGAGGGTGGCTGGAAGTTGCCGTTCCATGATAGCAAGGAGAAGAAGAGGGGTGGCATTCAAGTCGACGATACGGCGCCTGTTGCACCGGAGGATGCGGAATGATAAGTTGCAAGAAGAAAGATTGTTAACTGTATATATAAGCGTTATGGATAGAAGTAGAGAAGACCCATATAAGTGGCAAGAAAGAAAATAGCGTTGTCCACACTATCTTTGTATTCACCTGCCGTTTCATTAAGAAAAACCCAGGCGCTTTAGCAGAGTAATTACCTGTCCGCGTATCTTCACAGACAAAGCAGATCATATAAACTCCCGGCGACGTAAAGGGTACATCACAGGTCGCATTCAATTGCAAACACGCTCAATGGACTGCGGTTTATACAGATGCTCATGCGTTCCTGTGTCACTGCATCAAAAATTAGCATGGACACTCTGCGCCCCAAGATCAACTGTCCATTGTCGAGGATCTCATGTGCTACTAGAGGGATAGTCTGGTACCCACTAGTTGGCAAAAACATTCGACAGGTGCGCAACTGCCCGCATGAAGTTCAAAAAGGCAAAAAGAAATGCTGCGACGCCTGTGTGATTCGAACACACGCTCCCGAAGGAATTAGCTATCTAGTGAGTCCTATTGGACGGTTCGAGGCTAACGCGATAACCACTCCGCCAAAGCGCCCGTGCTTTTGTTGAAGTGTCTTGGTATTATTTGATATATATCGTACTACGAAATGCTTTTGAGAGCGCAGTGGGTAGTTTGGAGGACATGTGGGTGGCGTGCAGGACTCAGTCGGGACTTGACACGATTTTGGCCGAGGGAAAGACGCTCCACTACCCGCCCCATCCAACACCAGCATTAGTTTCATGCAGATCGATTAGACCCGGACCAACACCATTGCGCCGCGCGACCGTGTCTGACAATTCCCCAGGACCCGTTCGCAGGCTGATTCCTTCTACTGCGAGGGGCCAGCTACGCGCTCTTTCGCGTCATGTATCGAACCTAGACGGCTGCAAGCAACATCATGGACTCGATCGCAGTTGCACCCAAGGCGGCGTCGCTGGCGTCGCCCAAGGTCGTCAAGAATGCCAAAGGCAACATTGTGCCCAGCAGCCAGATGGCGCACATTGCTTACGGCTGCGGTACGCCATTCTTGCCCTATCGGAAGCTTCATCTGACGTTGCGACAGAGCACATGGGCGAAATGTTCGAAAACGCCCGCAAGCTCACGCTCAACTCATACCAGTCTATCCTCCGCAACATACACGAGAAGCCGAGCATCATAGCCCAGACGCACACCTCCGCTGCAGAGAGCCGCCCTGTCGTGGCGCTGCGGCCGCTCTATCTCTGCCTGCAATGCCCCAATATCATGACCGAGACCGACCGTGACCAGCACTTCGAGACCAAGTCACACTGCTTTTGTGGGTTTTGCAGCACACGTTATAGATGGAAGAGAATCTAATGGGTGCGCAGCGGTCGAATCACGAGAGGGCAATGTGTACTGCGGTAATTGCCAGGACTTCATATACGACCCTGAGCTCGAGATCAGGCGACTACAGAAAGGTTGGTGCATGCCCACCTCGGGATCAAGGCCTCAACTAACGTGCTTTCCTACAGGCAAGAAGCGCAAGTTTGAAGACACATCAACCGCCGACGACATCAAACTCATCGTCAACAACTCAACGTTCCTTCCCTGCCGCGCAATCGGCCTCCGCGGCCTCTACAACATGGGCCAGACCTGCTTCATGAGCGTTATATTACAGAGCCTCATACACAATCCATTCATACGAAATTTCTATCTTTCCGAAGGCCACAGACAGGCGGACTGCGAGAAGGAGTCGTGTGTCAGCTGCGCGCTCGACGAGATGTTTGTAGAGTTCTACTCTTCAGACAAGAACGAGGGCTTTGGTGCTGTCAGCATGCTCATGGGAAGCTGGCTGGCTGGAGAGGTGAGCTCATATCTTTTGCGTGAAGTTGTAGCATGCTAACATCCGTAGGCTCTTGCAGGCTACCAACAGCAGGACGCACACGAGTACATGCAATTCATCCTCAACACGCTTCACCTCGCCAACGGCGGCTCCACCGACTCCGATACCGATGACTGCAAATGCGTCGTCCATCAAACATTCTACGGCAAGCTCTCAAGCACCGTCACCTGCGACAGCTGTCGTAATGTTACAACCGCGCAGGATCCATACATGGATTTGAGCCTCGACATACGGAATCATAAAAAACGAAAGGTGAGCAGCGACAAAGGCGACGAAGTTCCGTTTGACCTGCGGGACTGTCTGGAGAGGTTCACAGCCAAGGAGAAGCTGGGTTCTGCCGAGTACACATGTCGGAACTGCGATAAACCGCAGAATGCGACAAAGCAATTGAGCATCAAACGAGTCCCACCAGTACTCGCGGTACATCTCAAGGTACGCGCCTCCTCATCGAGTGAGCTTAATCACTGACAATGACAGCGCTTTGAGCATTCGAAAGCCACTTCTTCAAAGATCGAGACCCGAGTCAGCTTTCCCACCAAGCTGGATCTCAACCCATATACCACATCATACCAACAAGTCCTGAAGAAGTCCATGAAGGCATCAGGCGCACCACCGACTAATCACAACACAAATACACCAGTGAACAGCCTCGTTTACGAACTGTCTTCAGTCATAGTCCACAAAGGCAAGATCGACTCGGGGCACTATGTCAGCTATTCTCGCGAAGGTAACGACTGGTTCATGTTCGACGACAGCAAAGTCGTGCTCGCCAGCGAGGCCGAAGTCCTGGCCGCCGAAGCCTATCTCTTGTTCTACATGGTTGGTGGCCTTGAGGTGTAATTCGATCGCGTATCCGGTCGCGTCTATGAAGTGGCACGGAAGCAATAACGGACTGTTTGCACGCGACTCTCGTTATTTTATTGTTGATCATACACCAAGCATGGGAGGCGCATCGAATTTCGGATTTTGAGCAGCATTCCGGCGCTGTAGGCGTCCAGACCGGCGCTATACTCACTTAATTGCTTTAGTCGCCATCTTGCAATACGAGAACCCAATCCTTGGGCTACTTCAAGCGAACCTTCAATGACTTCCCAGAATGCTTGACTTCGGCCGTACCAAGTGCGAAGCTGATATTAGATTCCCAGCGTCTTTGCAAACAATACATGCGAAGTACTGTACTATACCACGCATGTAACATACATGCATGTGTCCAGACTGAGAGCACAGCTTTTCTTCTTGTGATCAAGTCGCACCTGGTGCGTACAAGTACAGGCATATCTTCAATGCTGATCTACCTACTGATTTGTGACAGCCTACAAATTTGGCGATATGATTCCCATTTGGTAGCGCAAGACGGTGTACACAACATGGAAAGCTACAGTCATAGTAGTACATATTGCCGAATGATGTCCCCTGGTACACCGACCTGATACAAAAACTTCTCCCAATTCATTCGAGCGACAGCAGAGTGCTCGAAATATGCAGAGAAGCACGATATTGCTCGCTGCTGGATGATTGGGAGGCTCGTATAATTTTGTCATTGCTGCGCCACCAGTATATGCAGGGCGAACATTCACTGTGCACGCCTTACCGGGTAAAACGGGCACCGCGTCGGGTTACCATCGAAAAAGCTCCACACTTGACAGACCCTTCATTCGAGTAAGGTTAGGCTGTACATGTATTGCCTTTGCTGTATCAAGTTACGCCCGAAAATGGCTGCCTGGACCATATGTCTCCAGCATACCACCAAAGTCCGCAACCCACGACTCAACCTCAGCAACCATAATGCAGCTCAATAATGATATTGCTAGGCTGCAGTCTCATGGCCTCTATCACTCAATACGCAAACATACGCGACCATTCTCGCGATGTATCTGGACGATCTCGGCTACCAACGCTTTGCTTAGTGCGAGGTATCTTCTCGTGGAAGCAAACTTCCACTACCCCGTTGCACTATATATCGCCCAAATTGGAGTGAGCGCAATTGTATTTGCCATCCATCATACTCTGACCACAAACGGTACGCCACCAAAGTCATGGCAGAATCGGGCCAAGCCAGGGTCAGTCTTGGTCGTTGCGGCAATGTGCTTCGCGGCGCTGTCCATGATGTGTATGCTGCAAGCGCTTTTGCATAACAAGAATCTAACCACTCTCGTCATGCTTAGTGTAAGTTCTTATTTGCACAAAGTCAGTGTAGGGAGCCACTGACGTCTTGTGATCAGCCAATTATCTTTCTGCCGTATGAGTTTCTCTCACTTGCCTTGGATCTAATTCACTGCTCCCAAGGCGTGAGTATTCGTGTGGGTCTTCAGATTGTCCGCATTTCTGTGCTCACGCTGGCATGTGTCGTAATTCTCCTTGTGGAATATCGCTTGAAAATTACATTCCTGAAAAGTTCTCTGTGGACAATGCTGTCAGCTGGAACAGCTAGGGCACTCCGGCGAGTCGCATCGGAACATGATTCAGAAAACCTTCCGACGCGAAGAGAAGAGACCTTCTGCTTTCTTGGTGCTGGCAGTATCATCGCTCCTGTCTGGATACTTGCCACGCAGCATGATCCTCGTGCCTTTGCGGATTTTAAGTACGCTCCGCTAACAGTAATGATTGTCAACGCCGTGAGCACTACAGTGGCTCTGCTTCTTGGACGATCGATTATATTTTCCTTGAACGAGGACCGCCTGGATGAAGTAGTTGAGGACAGCTATGCGGCTCTTCGACGCTGGCATGACGGAGTCGTCCTAATGATTGTGTCAGGAGTCGCCAACTGCTCGCTGGTCCTTTCCATACGTAGGTCTTATACAAGCTGGCCTCAGTTCTGCTGCTTTGCGATTGCACTACTATGTGCTACTCTCGGACCTTGGCGCGCTTCCAGAGACTGTCAACCCGATGGTGAAGTCACTGCGTACGAACTTGTAGAAAGCATGTCACCAACGTCACTAGAGGACGAAGAAGCCGAACATGTACTAAGAAGTAAAGTACGGGCACAACAACAATGCTTGACAACATCCAAGTCTTGGAGACATGCCTGGTCGACCTTGGGGGTCGTTGCAGTAGCACTGCTCTGGGCCGGTTCTGTTGCGTTCAATATCACAGCACCAGATCCCAAGCGTCTTCCTGCTAGCATCGACCGCTCTTATGAGCCCTCCTTGCCTCTGGAGATTGTTCTCAGCATGTACAAGGAACCAATCTCGGACGTTCAAAACCTCTTAGCCAGCCTCAAAAGCGCTCATGAAACGAGGAAAGCTTCCGTGACAATATATACGAAGGACGAGAGCGCAGACACCGAAGACATCAAGCTAAGCACAGGCGCCGACTCTGTCATCCAGCTCCCAAACATCGGCAGAGAGGGCGAAACATACCTACACCACATCACCACCCGATGGGATACTCTGGCAAAACACACCATGTATCTCCAAGCCGACGTCCACTTCTCCAAAACCTTCTACACACGCCTCAGGAACTACTTCGTCCCCGACCGCACGGGCTTCTTGAACCTCGCCTTCTTCGAACCCTGCCACTGCGCGCAGTGCGGCGACGAATTCTGGTGGTGGGACCACGCAAAAATGATACCCAAGTATTTCACCAAGATCTACAACTCGACATGCGGAGATAGAGACGTCCTGCTGAGCTATACGGGCTCCTTCATCGCCTCGGCAGCACGTACCCGTGGGCTGGGTAAGGAGTTTTTCCAGGA